TAATTACTTCTAGATTCTGTTACAGAAACTAACAAGTGCTTAATGCTTAATCTGTCCTAACAAATATTACCTAGTGGATGTCAACCTAGATCTCAAGGTCTCAGAAATGTCAGCAGACGTCCTCCTCTTCAAACAAATTTAACGAATAATTAATAATTGAACATAGTGAAGTTTTGAAGGATTAACACGGATACTAGGAAAATACTGGCAAAACTAGAGATCGGTGGGATCAAGAAAGTAGATCGGGGGGGAAGCAGAGAATATGTTGTCTTAGTTTTCATCGATGCCTTTTTATGCAAACGATGCTTTTAAAATATTGGTATAAAAACTACTAGATTAATTTAAAAAAATTATTAAATTACTTAGTTATAATATATATTACATAATCTCTTTAAAATATTTTAGTATATTATCAAATTATATATTAATTTATAAATAAAATAAAAAATGATAAATATAAATAATTTAGTAAATTTTTAATCTAACTTAATATTATATTAAGAATGTGATGTAGTATGATAAATAAACCAACCTTTTATTTCATTTGAAAAAATTTGAAAGAAATAGCTCTCACAAAATGGCAGCTTCAGAACTTGCAGGCTTGTTTTCTCTTGAAACAAGCTCTTCAATTGAGATTCGGAGATCATCAAATGCTCACTCACATGATTTATCTCTGTTTCAGTGGCTCTTTTTCCAGTTTCTGGGAAGCTCGCATGTCGATGGTGTTGTTGTGTTGCATGGCTGCTTAAATCCACTTGAACAGCTTACAAAAAGTTCATAAAAATTATTCCCTTGAATTTTTAATATAAAAAATTAAATGGACTAATATAATGCATAATTTTAGCTTAGATCTCTTAAATTTTATTAGATGATCTTAGTCATCTTAAAATGTTAGTTCCAAGAAATATAATGATGTTTAAAATTTGCAAAAATATCATATATAGCATTAAAGTGATGATGTAGACTCACTAGATAACACTTATCTAAATTGTGTAGGGATAAAGGATAAAAAAAAAGAAGAACATTTTCCCATTCATTTTTGTTTATGCAAACCAAGTTGGGCTAGGCAAAACCACAAAAGCAATTATAAATAAGTAGTGAGAATAAGAAAAAAAAGTACCTTAACTCTTACGAAACTTGGCTCTTGTTGGGGTTTTGGCTATAATGATTTTCATCCCAAAGATAGAATTTATCCTAATGGAATATAATTTAATAATATACACAGCATGGAACCACTTTTATTATGTAAAGTGGTCGGAATATTTTCATACATCTTAGAAAATTATTATACTGCTAAATTTGTATAAAAAAATCTAAACCTTTATTAATAAAAAAAAATTTAATTTATGGAAGTGGGTTTTCAAGGGGAACAACTATCATAAATTTGTAGTTTGTACCACACTTTGAGGTTCTCTCTCCCTATCTCAAGAAAGAAAATTAAAGAAACTACAACTTTCTCACTAACTACCAAACATGATCTTGCAATCAACAGGTCAACTTGTCCCTGGTTTTAAGGGTTATTGTCACTTTGTTGTCGTTCTATGTATTGACGCGTTGCCGTATTGTTTCATTTGTCCTGCGCGCTCACACGGCTTTTTGGGGGCAAAAAGTTAGGATAGGATGGCCCACAACTCTTAAAATTTTTTAATTCATTTTTCAAGAAAAATATTATTTACTGGCGGAAACAAGCGCACAAGCAGAAGCCATCAATAACAAACTTGAATTCGATCCTCTACTGTCTCTAGAAAATCACACACACATATATATAAATACACAAAGTCGAACAAAGTGATTGAAGTGCTTTGAATAGTTGCGTGATCAAGTTATGTCTCACTATTGTTGAAGAATGAATGTGATTCAGATTCACATAACCATCTACGCCTAAGCTTTCAAGGTTTGGGCCCAAGGTGCTATGGGATGTTCGGACGGACTGACTTAGAACAATTTTCTCTAAATTTGAAAATTGCCGAAATAAAAGAGCATTGTTAAGTAAGTTAGATTGCCAAACATTTAAATCTTGAATTTCGCTAATGACGGAAAAATAGGAGATTTATATATGACCGAAACAGGTGCTTTTTTTTTTTCGGTGTATGAAAAGACAATTTTATTCACCACGGGTAAACGATTACATATAAAAATAAAAAAAAAAAACGATCAGTCACATTTGGTCTATTTGAACAAATCTCAAATTAAATGAACTGAAAAGAGAAGGCTAGCCAAGAATATAACAAACAAAGCAATGGATATACAAGAGAGTGATATTTTGGCATAAAAGCTGAAACAAAGACGTGCCTACACTACTAGAAAAAAGACCTTTAACGTCGCAAACTAATGGCGGTTCAGCAGAAAAACGAAGTGGAAAAAAACGCGGTGGCATTTTTGTAAATAAGTTGAAAGGGTTAAAGAACCGCCGTGGAAAGTATTTTTAACGGCGGTTCTTTAAAGAACCGCCGTTAAAAACTCTTTCCACGGCAGTTTTATTGAAAACCGCCGTGGAAAGTGTGTTCTTCAAACCCCCTTCAGCCGCTCAACTCCTCACTTTCTTTCTCATTTCTTCAGTGCGCCATGGTCCCCCTCTGCCCCACCACCGTGAAACTGCCATTACCGGCCATTCCCGCCTCTAGCCCACTGTTTAAACTCCTCCATTGAGCCCTTGGAGCCTTGCCGCCGTGCGTCGCACTCCGCTGTGGTCGACCGCTCCTCCCATTTCCATCGGTACTTGCTCAGCCGTGGTCCACCGCCGAAAACCGGTCCTACCCTCCACTATCTAATCGAAGACCGGTTCGTTGCCACCGTCCGCCGCCGTCGCCGCCGTCCGCCGCCGCCTCATTTCGTGTTTGAAGCTTCTCTGCTCTGTGAGTATCCTCTTCTTTCATTCTTTTCAATTTTTCTTGGTTTGTTGAATGTTTTAGCCATGAAAATCTGTTATATATGAAATGGGTTGTTAGTTTTACATTGTGGTTAGCTTCTATTGTTCATTTTGCATTTTTATGTCGTTGAACCGTTGATTGGTATTAATTGGTAGGCATTAGATGTGAGAAAACCTTAATTTCTTTTTACATACTGTATTAGAAATATGTTTAAATGTTTGGAGTTGATTAGTTGTGAAGTTTTTAAATTTTTTTATAATTTTTTGATATTTATTTCGAATTTTTGATAATTTTTTGTAATAAATATAAGAATTTAGTGATAAATAATCTGTTAGTTATTTTGTGTTTTTTCCTTCGTTATGAATTTTGATTGATAGTAAAGTATTGTTTAAATAATCTGTAGAACAATGGATCGTAGTTGGATGAAAGCTAGGAGAATTAGCAAGGAATATGAGGATGGGGTTGAAAAATTTCTTGAGTTTGCTCAGAGAAATGCCCCTAGTAAAGGAGATGGATTGTACTATTGTCCTTGTGTCAAATGTTTAAACAATAGTCGACGGAGTATTTCTGAGATAAAAGAGCATCTTATCTGTGATGGGATAAATTTGAGGTATACAAATTGGATATGGCATGGAGAAATTAGAAAGACTACACTGTCTGCAAATGAGAAGGTTGTGAATGAAGACTTTGGTGATAGAATTTCGGATATGTTTCGTGATATAAGGTCTGAATCCTCTACACAGTTTTCTTCCACCTTTGAAACTTTGTGTAGTGATGCAGAGACACCTTTATACCCGGGGTGCAAAGATGATTACACAAGATTGACAACTGTATTGAAACTGATGAATTTGAAGGCAAGAAATGGTTGGACCGATGCTAGTTTTACGGAATTGCTTGAATTGCTGAGTGATATTCTTCCCAAAGGGAATTCACTTCCGAAACGAATGTATGAGGCAAAAAAGATTTTGTGTCCGATGGGTTTGGAATATGAGAAGATACATGCGTGTCCTAATGACTGCATATTATTCAGAAATGATTATGAAGAGTTGAATAAGTGCCCTAAATGTGGGACTTCAAGATACAAAATGAAGAAAGATGATGGTGATTATAATGAGATGACCAAAGGTTCTCCTTTAAAGGTTCTGTGGTATCTTCCAATAATACCACGATTTAAGCGTCTATTTGCTAATGCCACAGATGCAAAGAACTTGAGATGGCATTTTGATGAGAAAATATGTGATGGAAAGCTTCGTCACCCAGCAGATTCTCCTCAATGGAAAACAATAGATCAAAAATTTTCTCAATTTGGTGGCGAGCCAAGAAACCTTCGGCTAGGGCTTTGTACGGATGGAATTAACCCATATGGTAATCTTAGTAGCACACACAGTGCTTGGCCAGTGCTCCTCGTAATTTACAACTTGCCTCTTGGTTATGTATGAAAAGAAAGTATATCATGCTATCTTTGATGATCTCGGGGCCAAAACAACCGGGAAACGATATTGATGTGTATTTGGCACCTTTGATTGAGGATCTGAAGAAATTATGGGAGGAAGGTGTTGATATGTTTGATGCATATAAACAAGAGACCTTCAATTTACGTGCCATGATCTTCACCACGATAAATGACTTTCCAGCATATGGAAATTTGTCTGGATACAGTGTTAAGGGGCATAAAGCATGCCCGATATGTGAAGAAGGCACCCACTATATGCAACTTAAACATGGCAGGAAGACAGTATATCTTGGTCACAGAAGGTTTCTTAGTCGGTTACCGTAGATTGAAAAAGGCATTTAATGGCTCACAAGAATATGAAATGGCTCCAAGACCATTAACTGGAGAAGAAGTTTATCAGCGGGTGGAGGGAATTAATGTGGTCTTCGGTAAGAAGAAGAAGAAGAAGACTGCCAGTGAGAGAAATATATGGAAAAAAAGATCTGTCTTTTTTGATCTTCCATATTGGCGAAGTCTTGATGTGAGGCATAGTCTAGACGTGATGCATGTGGAGAAGAATGTATGTGAGAGTCTTGTTGATACACTTTTGCATATAAGTGGAAAGACTAAAGATGGAATCAATACAAGACGAGACTTAGTCGAAATTGGAATAAGAAATGTCCTTCACCCACAAGAAAGAGATGGTAAGAGGGCTTATTTACATCCAGCTGCGCACACATTATCAAAAGAAGAGAAAAGAAGTTTCTGTGGTTTTGTCAATACTATTAAGGTGCCACAAGGTTATTCTTCTAATTTAAGCAAACTTGTTTCAATGCAAGATTTGAAGATAACGGGAATGAAGTCTCATGATTGTCATGTGTTGATGCAACAATTACTTCCACTTGCTATTCGAGGCATTATGAAAACCGATGTGAGAAATACTATTACAAGACTTTGTATGTTTTTTAGTGCCATTTGCAGCAAAGTCATTGATCCTGCTGAGTTGGATGAATTAGAAAATGAAGGTTATGTGATCCTCTCTCAATTGGAAATGCATTTTCCTCCATCATTTTTTGATATTATGGTCCACTTGATAGCTCATCTTGTGCGAGAGATAAGACTTTGTGGCCCTGTGTGTTTAAGATGGATGTACCCTTTTGAGAGATACATGAAAATCCTAAAAGGGTACTCTAAGAATCCTTATCGGCCTGAGGCATCAATTGTTGAAAGATATGTAGCTGAGGAGGCAGTTGAGTTTTGTAACGCATATCTTGACAGGGTAAAGGCAGTTGGTCTTCCTCAATCTCGACATGATCAAGGGAGAAGAAGCAAGGGAACACGGGGTGTCATAGTGAGGTCTATGTCAAGAGAAGTTGTAATGCAGGCACATCTATACATTTTAAACAACACGGATGAAGTTTTGCCGTACTTAAATGCTCACAAGAATATGCTGAGGAACTTGAATCCAAGAAAGAGTGACATGCAACTAGCTAATGAACATAATAAGTCATTTGCAGAGTGGTTCAAGCGAGAAGTGTTAAAAGATGGCAATCCTTCTGAGACAATACAGAGGCTAGCTGCAGGGCCTTCTTTTGAGGTTTTGTGTTGGGGTGGATATGATATAAATGGTTATTCTTTTTACACAAAAACCCAAGACGATAAGAGTACTATGCAGAATAGTGGGGTGATGGTAGTAGCGGAAGCCATGCATTTTGCTAGTTCTAAAGACAGAAACCCAATGTTGGCGGCAATGTCCTATTATGGAATAATAGAAGAGATATGGGAGGTTAGTTATACCAAGTTTAAAGTTCCCGTCTTCAAATGTAAGTGGGTTAATAGTAATGCTGTGCAAGTGGATGAAGAATTTGGATTTGTTTCGGTCGATCTTGAGAGGTTTGGATACGGAGACGAGCCATTTATTTTGGCAAGTCAAGCAAAACAAGTGTTCTTCGTTCCCGATCTAGCAAAAAAGAAATTGTCTATCGTGCTTCAAGGTAAAAGGCAAGGAGTTGGTGGAGATGATGGTGACTTAGAGCTTAATCTTGATGAAACCCCGCCTTTCACAGCTACTCGACCTAAAGCAGTTGAATTAGATTTGGTAGATGATGACTATGCTGTTAGAGATGATCATTGTGAAGGAATTTGGGAGGATAATCGTTGTAAGCCTCAAATGAATTTTTTGATATTTTTTTTTGCTAAATATACTTAATAATATAGTGTTTTATATTAACTTGATATTTTTTATTCTTACATTTATTAATTCCTTATTCTTTAAACAGGAAATGGACGGATCCGGTCAACAGGGTTCTGGTGATGACAACTCTTTTACTAGTCGGAGAAAGGGTAGAGGGCCAACCCATATGAGGCATTTAGCTTTACGTGATGAGAGCACATAGCCTACGAGGATTACAGTGGAATTTGATGATGATCTGAAGCCTATAGGAAAGGATGGGGCTCAATTTACTAGTTATGTGGGTTATCTCGCACGCAGTAAAATTAGCATTGACATTCCTAACTGGAAGAAGGTGGACAAAGATTTGAAGAAAAACCTTTGGGAGGATATATTGGTATATTGTGCATTGTTTTCTCTACTTGTTTCAATTATAGTTGTTTATTTACTTTATAACTCTATGCTATTATTGTATTGCATGCAGCTGACATTTGATATTCCTGCCACTAAACAAATGAGAGACCGTCTGTTGAAGCAAATTGCTGAACGGTGGAGGGATTTTAAGTCCATGCTTACAACACAGTATATTAATGGAAAAAGAAAGGGTGTGCATCCTAAGGAACGATACCAGTTTATTAGCGATGAGGCATGGGAGAATTTTGTGAAGCAACGTGAAGACCCCGCATTTCAGGTTTGGTTTCTTCAAACTTAATTTTTAATCAGGTCATATTTTATTTACCTAAACTAATTTTGTCGATTTGGTTTCATTGTCATAGGCATTGAGTCAGAAGAACAAACAAATATCTGAGCAGAATGTATACCCACATACCATGTCTCGTGCAGGGTATGGTGGGTTGGAAAGAAGTATGATGGAGGAACGACTGAAGAATGCACAGATGGCTGCTGCTTCAGATCCTACTGGCTACATGCCATCCATTGAGCGTCCTTCTCGCCAAGAAAAATGGAAGGCGGCGAGGATTAAAAAGGGTCAATACATTACTCCACAGTCTGCTACTGTTGCTGAGAGGATTGTAAGTAATATTTAAGAATTATGCTTCATTGATTGTTTTTTTCAATTATCTTAAATTGAATTTGTTGTTTTAATGATATAGGATACACTTGAGGAGCAACTATCTCAAGGTACATTCATCCCTCAAGGACGGATGGATATCTTGGCCACTAAAGGGATTGGTATTAAAGAATTTTTTGGCTCTGCTTCACGAAGAAGCACCAGATCATCCTCCGCTAACATGGTATCTAAAGAGGAGCTCGACCAACGACTACAAGAAGAAACAGAGAGAGTTCGAGCTGAACTAAGTCAACAACACATGGCAGAGATGCAAAAGATACGTGATGAATTCGATGCCAAGTTTCAACAGACTTTGATGATGATGGGTACGAGCGGATTCCAGATGCCCCGAGTATCTGAACCTTCCCAGGTAATAATCACACATCTTTTTAAATCTTCTAAAGATTCATTTGATCCATTTAAACTTATTTAATGTTTCTTAACTAATTTCATATTATGTTTCAGGGTTCACCTGTGATAAAAAGCGGAAAGGGCAGTAATAATCAGACACAGCCACTGACAGTGTCTGACCCTGACCCTAGCCCTGACCCTGTCGAAGACAATGGGATGCCGTGTTCTCTCTATGTGGATTATGAAAATTCACCTGTTCATGTTGCTAATGGTCGAGCATTCATGGGCACAACGATTCACGGCAACAAAATTCCGAGCAATCAAGCAAGGGTGACAGTGGAGAGGATTGTTCGTGGTCAGGGGGGTACACCAGTGCCTAATCCTACTGATGAGGTTCGACTCTTGGCCCAAGCTAAAGGACATTTCATTTTGTGGCCAAAGAGACTTATTACAAAGCCAATAGTGAAGAAGGCGGCAGCAAAGAAGGCCACAACGAGCGCATCATCTGATCCTGTACTCTTGCCTCTTCCTAGTGATGTTGCGCTTATGTATTCCAGTTTGGAGGTTCTTCATTCCATGGTGCCAAACATGGATAAGCCTGTGACTTTCAAGATGCCGTTGGGGGTTGTGGGTTCAGATATAACATACGACTTCACCATTGACAAGAAGGACCTCGTTCAGTTCCTCAACTTTGAGGAGCTTGATATAGCCTTCATGCAGCTTGCTATTTTGTAAGTTACAATATCATTTTCTTATTACATATTATACTTCATGCATGTCCTAATGTTTTTTACTTGAACAACAGGCATTTTAATCAAATCTGTCGAAACGGAGGACTTGAAAGAACATATGGCTTTATGTGTCCTCAAAGGGTGCAGAAAGAATTTAATACTGTGGAAGCAAGGTCAATCTACATTATGACCGCAATGAGTCAGACCAAAAAGCTAATATATTTTGCACCTTACGTGGAAGGGTAAGTGTATTATTGTATTTGAGATATACAAGTTGTATGTGTCGGGTTATAATTAACATGGTTTGCCTTTTGCAGTTATCATTGGACTCTAATTGTTTGTGCCCCTTTTGACAACAAAGTTTACTGGTTCGATTCACTCTGTGGAAGTCCATCCGAAGAAACCAAAGATGTCATCGACACGTTAGTTTTTATTTATATATTTATTACTTGTGAAGTTTATACAAGCATGCTCTAATATCATTTTCTCTTATAATGTTGATAGGGCTTTTCATAGTTTTAATGTCGTGGCGATTAAACAAAATAGACAAGCACCAACATGGATTCTTCCACAGGTATATGTTGTTTTGAACTAACTTTTAAACATTTTTTGATGAATTAAAGTTAATGTTTATAATCAATAATGTCTAATATTCAATTTTATATCTTATTTTTTTAGTACCGTTGTCAACAAGGACATGTTGAGTGTGGATATTATGTCATCCGCTATATGAATGACATAATTGAGACAGCAACGACAGAGAAATTAGACGAGGTAAAGATGAGTTACGTTGCATGACGTTCTTCAATTTATTTCACATTTTTGACTAAGTTTACTATGTTATTTTTTATTAACAGATATTTCAAAATACTGCGCCATATCTCATGGATGACATCAACTTGATGAGGGACACTTTGTCAACAACATTGGTAGAAAAATTGAAATTTAGCTTTAAAATAGATAGATAGGTTATTTGTCAAAAAATTCATTGTTAGATGCTTTGTCTCGGTTCCCTCTTATATTGTTCATGATTTCCATTGTACAAAGAAGTAGTTACTTCTATTTCAGAATTGTCGGACCTAGCCAATACGTGTTCCTTGGTAACCACTTAGTTCTATTATATTGGCCGGTTCCCCTATTTTCGAATTGTGTAAAAAAAATTTCATTGCTGTATATTAACTAGCTAATTGATCTTGTTTTGCGTGATCTGCACTGCCTACATTTGTTTGGAGCTGTAAACTGCAGGGTGGTAAACACGAAAATTTCGCAGAATTTAAAAAAAAAAAAAATTTAACGGCGGTTATACATATAACCGCCGTTAAAACCCTTTTCCACGGCGGTTAAATATAAAACCGCCGTGTTTTCCTTACCTTTCAACGTCGC